CTGCAGATAAGCCTAGCTAGCTAGCTAGCTACTGCTACTGCTAGCTAGCTAGCTACTGCTACTGCTAGCTAGCTAGCTAAGGGTTCGTTGTTTGAATTTGTTAAATGTTTGAGTCAGCCAAAAGTTGCAAACCGGAAGACAAGGAAATGGGGGCACCACTGAGGTGTATATACACCTCAACTAAAAGAAAAAGAAAATAAAGAATATGTAATTAAATAAATAAGAAGAGGCATTAACGCTTAAGTCCTTATCACCCTCATTTGCATGCATGAGGCAACACAGCCTAAACCCTAAACCCTAAACCCTCGAGGGTTTAGTATCTCAGCACTTCGTACACCTTAAAACGTTACGCAGCAGGAGCATCCCTGTCGCTTCCACCTTCTGTCTCCTTCTGTCTCTTTATTTGTTCATCCCTCTCTCTTTCTCCCTCTGTCTCTCTGTCTCTCTGTCTCTCTCTCTCTGTCTCTCTCTCTGTCTGTCTCTCTCTCTCTGTCTCTCTCTCTACTCTGCTCTCTGTCTGTATTGTCCTTTGGAGTCCTCCTCTCGCTTTTTCTCTCTGTCTCCTTTTGTCTCTTTATCTGTCTCCTCTTGTCCCTTTATCTGTCTCCTTTTGTCTCTCTATCTGTCTCCTTTTGTCTCCTTATCTGTCTCCTCCTGTCTCTTTATCTGTCTCCTTTTGTCTCTTTATTTGTCTCCTTTTGTCTCCTTATTTGTCTCCTTTTGTCTCCTTATTTGTCTCCTTTTGTCTTTGCTTCTGTCTCCTTTTGTCTTTGCTTTTCATCACTTCCGCGCGTAAGACAGCCTCAGAGGAGTACCGCTGATTGTCTGACCTTGCAGCTCTGCACGCAGCAGCAGCAGCAGCAGCAGCAAGACAGCAGCAGCAGCAGCAGCAAGACAGCAGCAGCAGCAGCAAGACAGCAGCAAAGATACAGCCTATGCATATGTATATGTATATATATATATATATATATATATGCATATATATATATATATACATACAACATTATTAAGTAGATGCATATAGATTAGCATTGGGGTGTACACAGCACAACCTGCAGCTAACATATCGAAGAATAATAATAAATTATTAAATAATAATAAACAATTAAATAATAATTAACAATTAAATAATATTAAGACTATTTCTTTACTAATAGCGAGGCATTTGTTTAATAATAACAATATAACAATGTATTAAACAATAATAATAAAGTATTGCTCTATAATAATAATAATAATAATAATAATAATAAAGCGTATATATTAAAACAAGCACAACAACAACAGCATAATAAACAGCACAACAACAACAGCATAATAAACAGCACAACAACAACAGCATAATAAACAGCACAACAACAACAGCATAAAGAAGTATAAAAAAATAAATATAATGCCTTACTGCTGAGGGCTTTAGCTGCTAATGTCTCCGACGCATATTCAACGAATGCAACCTTCTTAAATAAAATAGCACGAATATCTACAAGACCCTCAGCTTGAGAGAAGAGCTGCTGTAAAGCAAAGTTCGTGCACCAGTCCGGCAGATTCTCTACAAATAGCACCTTGTTCGAGCTACCCTGCAGCAGCAGCAACAGCAGCAGCAGCAGCAGCAGAAGCAGCAGCAAAAACAGCAAAGGAGGAGGAGATACACAAGCAGCAGTAATAAATATATCAATATATATATATATATATATACGCATGTACATATGTATACATGTATATATATGTTTATTTATAGTCATTAATATATTAATTTATTTATTTTATTTATTTATTTATTTTATTTATTTTATTTATTTAATTTATTTATTTTGATTTGCTGCAGATGTTCTCTTTTTGCATGCAAACATATTTGTATATTTATTTATACAATAAAAATAATAAAAATAATAATCAAGATAAATATTAATAAAAAATAAAATATTATTTAAATGCATGCAGATAAAAGGAGACAGTTAATGCACTTACAGGGCCTTGGCTGCTGCTAGAGGCGGAGCCATCCGCAGCACCCTGCTGCTGCTGCTGCTGCTGTTGCTGTTGCTGCTGCTGCTGCCGTGCTTGTGCTGCTGCAACAAGAGCAGCAGGGTTTGTTGATGCTGTTGCTTGAGGAGGCAACCCAGAGGGACTCTGAAAACGCAAAAGGAGACAAATAAACACATACGCAGCACTGTCTCTCTACTCAGCAGCAGCAGCAGCAGCAGCAACAGCAGCAGCAACGGGCACGGCAGCAGCGCGAGGGACCCACCAACGTATGAAGCAACAGCAGCATCAGCAGCAACAGCATCAGCAGCATCAGTATGAACAGCAGCAACAGCATCAGCAGAATCAGCAGCAAGAGGAGCAGATGATCATGAGCATGCAGCAGCAACAGCAGCAAATACAACACAAACCTTCAGAGCAAGATATTGCTGCTGCAGCTGCAAGAAAAGCTGCTTCTGCACTTCTTCCTTCTCTCGCACTCTCTTTGGCTTTCGGGGCCCCTTCGGTCTCTCTGCGAATGTCCCGTCTTCTTTAGCAACAACATCACTCTTCGCCAGTGCATAATTTATATGCTGCAGCAGCAGCAGCAGCAGCAAAAGCAGCAGCAGCAGCAGCAGAAGAAGAAGCAGCAGCAGAAGAAGCAGCAGCAAAAACAACAGCAGCAGCAGAAAAAGCAGAAGCAGGAGAGCTTTTTTGGCTTTATATTTATTGATATTGAAGCTGCAAATGCTGCTGCTGCTGCTGCTGCTGTTGTTGCTGCTGCGCAGCGGCAGCAGCAGCAACAGCAGCAACAAAACAAGGTGAAACCAACAGACATAAATAGAGAGACAAAAGGAGACAGATAAACAGGCAAAAGGAGAGAGATAAACAGACAAAAGGAGACAGATGAGCAGACAAAAGGAGACAGATAAACGGACAAAAGGAGACAGAAGGAGACAGCAATTGAGCTCACCAAAGGCTGCCCGTGATAGACAAAACCCTGCATGCCGTTCAACGCAGCTGTTGCTGCAGTTTCGTCTTTAAACACAATCCAAGCTTGTCCCCTAATAAAACAAAATAAATAAATAAACAGCAAAAAGAGACAGAAGAACAATCAACAGACTATTTAGAGACAGCAGCACACAGAAGAATAAAAAGGAGACAGGAGACAACGCTGATTTACTTTATTTTTATTTATTTTTATTTATTTTATTTTTATCGTTTTGTTTTTATCTTTATTTATTTTAATTTATTTATTTTTATTTATCCACTTTAATTTATTTTAATTTGTTTTTATTTATTTTTATTTTTATTTATTTATTTTACCTCCAGAAAGCCAAATACGGTGATGTCTTCGCACAGTTTGAACAATCCTCTCTTACGCATTTAATTATGTAATTAATTAATTAATTAAGTAATTAATTAATTAATTAATTAATTAATTTATTAATTTATTTATTTATTTATTTATTTATTTATTTTACCTCCTCCAGAAAGCCAAATACGGTGACGTCTTCGCACAGTTTTGAACAATCCTCTCTTACGCATTTAATTTAATTATGTAATTAATTAATTAGCTAATAGATTAATTAATTAATTAATTAATTAATTAATTAATTAATTAATTTATTTATTTATTTTACCTCCTCCAGAAGGAGCTCATCGCGACAATTTGTCGAATTTCTCCGAATTGTTTGAACATCGACTTCAAATTTTCTCTCAACTCTGAAAATAAAATAAAATAAAATAAATTAATTAATTAAATAAAATAAAATAAAATAATTAATTAATTAAATAAATAGATTAGATTAAATTAAATTAAATTAAATGTGTCTCCTTTTGTCTTTTTATTGTCTATTTTTGGTGTCTCTGGTTTTGTTTGTTTGCGTCGGCTTGTTTGATTTTTTCTGTCTAATTTTGTTTGTCTCCTCTTTCTGTCTCCTTTTGCCTCTTTAACTGTCTCCTTTTGCCTCTTTATCTGTCTCCTTTTGTCTCTTTATCTGTCTCCTTTTGTGTCTTTAACTGTCTCCTTTTGTCTCTCTACCTGTCTCCTTTCGTCTATTTCTCTATCTCCTATTATCTCTTCTTTTATCCTTCTATGTCTGCCTATAACAACCAACTGTCTCCTCCTGTCTCCTTTCTGTCTCCTCTATATTTCTGTCTCTGTCTATAACAACGAACTGTCTCCTTTTGTCTCCTTTCTGTCTCTTCTTCTATCTTCCTATGCCTGTCTACAGCAATTATATCTGTCTCTGTCTCTGTCTCTGTCTCTGTCTTTGTCTGTCTCTCTGTCTCCTCTCTTCTGTCTCCTATGTGTTAGCTGTCTTCATTATAATTATTATTAATTATAATTATAATTATAATTATATTTATATTTATTATTACATTTATATTTATAATTATAAACATATCCTGATATCTTTAAGTTTAACTATCACAATCCCCTATCATATATAAACATCCAAATTAATACAAAACTTATAAATAAAATAATTAACAATATAATATTTATAATAACATTTATATATAATAGCATTTACATTTACAGTAATAATAAATAAATAATAATAAATAATAAATAATAAATATATTGACATACCTTTAAGTTTAACTCTATCGTTAATATTTGATATATAAATTGTGCAGTTCGGGGGTATATTAACATCAACGGCTTTCGGCTGTAAATATTTTAATCTTTTTAAGTTTAAAGCTGTCATCCCAACTGCAGCCATCTCAGGAGCAACAGGGCCCCAAGTCCCGCCTGGAGCTCCTGCTGCTGCTGCTGCTGCTGCTGCTGCTGCTGCACCACCTGCTCCTCCTCCTACTGCTGCTGCTGCTGCTGCTGCTATTGGTGGTGGGGGGCCCCCTGCAACTGCTGCAGTACCCATTCCTCCTGGGGTTGGACCCATACCTGGAGGGGGGGCCCCCATTGGGGGGCCCCCCATTGGGGGGCCCCCCATTGATGGAGGGGGGCCCCCCATTGGGGGCCCTCCAAATGGGGGGCCCCCCATACCTACTGCTCCATGGGGGCCCCCACCCATACGGGGACCGTACCCTCCTACTCCACCCATAGGTGGGGGGCCCCCAGGGGCCCCCGGGGCCCTACCAATAGGGGCCCCTGGGGGCCCCATCATCGTATTAGGAGGGTGCTGAGGTGAGGGCCCCGCAGGGAAACCCATAACAGGAGGTCCTGTCATTGCGAATGCTTAGACGCAGCAGCAGCAGCAGCAGGAGTAGCAGCAGCAACAATTGCAGCAGCAGCAGCAGCAGCAGCAGCAGCGCCACAAGCAGCAAAGAGATTTGGGGGCGAAGAAAGGTGATAAGAGATTAAAAGAAGGAGATTAAGAAAAGAAGCAGAAAATATATTTAATGCAGCTACAGGGACTGCTGCTGCTGCTGTTGCTGTTGCTGTCGAAATCAGATACAAAGGCAGCAGGAGCAGCAGAATAATGATGGATGCTGCTGCCGCTGCTGCTGTTGTTGCTGTTGCTGCAGCTCTTGCAGCTGCTGTTTCTTCTACGATAAAGAGACTGAAAACAAAGCACAAAAAGACAAACAATGCCCTTCGCCTTAACACCCGACAAGAACCCCAGCAGCAGCAGCAGCAGCTGCAGCAGCCGCAGCCGCAGCAGCAGCAGCAGCAGCAGCAGCAGCAGCAGAGCATGTATACGGATCAGGCCTCTGTCTGTTGCTTGAGTATTTTTCTTTATTTTCTTTTGTTAAAAGAGAAGTTTGCATTTATAATTGGGTTTATATTGCTATATTTGCTTCTAAATTAGCTGCATATACACCCCAAACTGCAGCAGCAGCTCTTTCTCCAGATATATTATTAACCTCGCCTCACTAAGGGGCCCTTCTCCTTCTTTGTTGTCTCTGGGGTAGGGCCCCCTCATCAGCTGATTTAATTTATTTGTTTATTGTTTATAAAATGCAATTAAAATAATATAAAAGGTCTTCTTCTCCTTGTCTACTACCTCTGAGCTGTACATACACCGCAGCTGCACAAACTCTAAACCCCTCTGCTGCATGCAGCAGCTGCTGCTCTCGTCTTTTGCTTCTTTTCTTTTTTTTTGTCTATAAACTGAAGCAATAAGGGATGGAGAAGGAGAGACAAGGCGAAGTATTAGCAGCACCAGCAGCAGCAGCAGCACCAGGAGCAGCAACAGCAACAACAACAGCAGCAGCAGCAGCATTAGCAGCACTAGCAGCAATAGTAGCAATATCAGCAGCAGCAGCAGCAGCAACAGCAGAAGGTTCTATTGTTTATCATTTCTATCATTGCTGCATCACTCCTCCTGCTGTATGGGGTGCAGGCTCGGGTGTATATCCATATTGTTTTTCTTTGCTTTTCTTTTCTCTTGCTGCTCTTCTTTGGGGGCAGCTTGCCTCATACCCTCAATTAGAAGAGCCTATTATCTCTTTACTTCCGAAGCAGCATAAAGAGACATTAAGGAGACAGCACCATGCATGCAGAGCCCTTGTTGCTGCCCACGCAAAGGGTAGCAACCCTGCAGCAGCAACAGCAGCAGCAGCAGCAGCTGCTGCTGCTGCTGCTGCCGTTGCAGCAGCAACAGATATCGCCCCCGAAAAACTGAAAAACAACGCCTGTATAATCTGCAACCCAGCAGCAAAAACAGCAGCTCCAGCAGCAGCAGCAGCAGCAGCAGGAGAAACAGCATCAGCAGCAGCTCCAGCAGCAGCAGCAGCAGCAGCAAGAACTGCTGAGTGTGTTACACTGAAGGCAGCAGAGAAATACTTAACTGTTTCTCGCAATCGAGCTGTAGGGTTTATGCATGCATTTATTGCTTCAATTTTGGGGCTTTGCTGCGTTTTTTATGATAAACAGCTGCAGCAAAACAAAGCAGAGAGCACCTCTCTTCTCTTTACTCTTACAGGTACTACATTTTATTATTATTATTTATTATTATTATTATTTATATTTATTTATTTATTTATCTATTTGTTTATTATTGTTGTTCGTTTATTTTATTTATTTGTTTAGTTTTGCTGTTCTTTCTCGTTTGATTTCTTCGGGTGTCTTCACTGTTATTATTAATTAATTAATTAATTATTATTATTTATTTGTTGTTATTATTTATTTGCTTATTTTTTTGTTTATTTTGTGTATTATTATTATTTGTTTGTTTTCTTGTGCTGTCTTTATTATTATTTATTTGTTGTTGTTGCTGCTGCTGCTGTTGTTGTTGCTGTTATTGCTGCTCCTGCTGCTCCTATTCCTGCTGCTGCTGCTGTTGCTATTCCTGCTGCTGCTGCTTCTATCCCTACTGCTGTTGCTGCTTCTATTCCTGCTGTTGCATTTGCTGCTGCTTCTATCCCTGCTGTTGC